CATTTTGGGACATGCTGCCTTTGGGCATCCCGGCTGGGAAGCTCTGAATTAATGCGTGTGTGTTGCTTGGACCAGGCCTGGCGTATTCTGAGGGCTCGCAGATAGCTGAGTGATTACTGCAATCAGCACAAATTTTGGAAGCCTGGAGATATCTCCAACTGGCAGGGCTGTCAGTGGCCTGTATCGCTTGTGGAGAACAAGGCCACTCAGTCTTTGCCTGGCATTATGGGCCCTCTTTTCCCAAAGATTCAAATTTCCGATCCTATGTAAATGGGGTGCCAGGATCAGTAGTTTGCAGTTGGGTCTCTTAAGCCAGAGCTCCAGGGCTTCTTGTAGCCACCCTGCAGGAACCTCGTGGCAAAGGCCGGGGCTCTTCGGGACCAGAAGAGGCGTTGCTGAAGGCAGACCTTGAGCCTTTCACTGGCCAGCGCCTGCCCTTGAGCCAGCCCCCAAGTTTAGCCCACATCCTTCCCCCCAGCTCACCCCTGCATTTACCAGCCTCTAGCCTGCTCTCGGCCCTGGACCCACCCTCTCTCCCAGGACTGGCTGTCAGGGTCTTTCCTCCGAGTTTACTGCTCTGCACACTTCCCTGGGCTCCAGCTGCTCTTGACCTCAGCAGACTCCAGCGCCTGGGACTCCGCCGCCTAGGTGCCAGCAGACCTGGCTCCCTGCCCCCCTCCCTGGCGCTGCCTCCGAGCCCTTGGCTCCCTCCAGGAGGCACTGAGCTAATCAGGCTGATGACGGCCCAGGTTCAATTCCACTTTCCCTGGCTAAGCCACGCAGTAAATTTCCTCAGCTGCCCGGCTCCCCTGTGAGTCCTGCCTCTCGCCAGGCAGCCCGGCTTAGGAAGCCGTCAGCTCCCCCGCCTGCTGTATCATCGCAGATGAATCAGGTGTAATTTAAACACGGACCACAGAGGCACATTGCCCTCAGCAGCAAAACACAATGGGTCACGTCTTCCCAGGTCTAGCACGATTCCTGGGGTTCTAAATGCCAAGGCCCTTGCTGTCATCCCTGAGGCCAAGCTCTCGTCTGCCCGCCAGAGACCTGAATTTGACAAGGTGCTCTGGAAAATGATTCCTTCAACTCCATACATTTTGGGAGTGGGCTGGTGGCATCAGCCTTGGTCTATATGTCAGCAGACGGTCCTTGAACTTCCAGGCTCATCGCATTCCTGTCCCACCCCCAGGGTGTCTGGCGACCTGGGATGACCTGGAAAGACTCAGAGAAGGAGAAAAATCCGGATGCTGTGTTCGTTCTCAAATCCAGGCGCCCCAGGGATGGAGAAAGAGCTCTGCTGGCCATTCTTTTTGTCTTGATCCCTTCCAGAAAGGGAGAAGTTTGGCCGTGGTTCAGGAGAAAGAGGAGCCCAGGGTGTACCAGTGCCCGTAGCTTGCACAGCCTGAGCTAGAGTCTGCGGCCTACAGGGGACAGCACTTTCCACAGGACTGGGGAGAAGCACGCAGGAAGCAATTAGAGAACAAATGAGAATTTGATTATGTCGTGTTGATACAAGCCCCAAAGGAACACCAGAAGGACAGGATGAATGTGACAGGAGGTGTTTTTTAAGACTTTGTGGAGATGAATTTTGATTTAATTGTTAGCATTCATAGCATCTTCTATGCACCAGGCACAGGGGGGACCAGAGCCTCACCCTCACCCTCGAATTGACAAGGGGAAATGGTGAATGGGATGAGAGACATATACAAGGGTCGTATCAGGGAGGGCTTCCTGGAGGAAGTGGAATTGGAGTTGCAGGATGGGTCAGGTTCTAGAGAGGATGATGTGGGAGGATGAGGTTAAAGAAGCTGCCCGGGAGAGCAGATGGCAGTTCAGCAATCCACGCGGTGGGGCGTGGGTGGAAGGCGAGATGGAGCCGGGAGAGGAGATGAGCCCCGGTTCCAGGGACTTTGAAAACCATGCTGAGGAGTGGATTTTGCTTTAATCAGAGGGCAGGAGTGTCAGTGTTTTGAGCATGTGAACAGCACAGTTGGGAAGGAAACGGTGGGCTTCAGGAGGAAGCAGTGATTAGCAACAGGACAGGCCATAGGGAGAGCAGCTGTGAGGCTGGGCCCGAGGCGATGCCATGAGCAGACCCGTGGGTCCAGGTAGGAGCAGCACTGAGGGGCAAGCAGTGGCATGAGGACCTTCATGACTGTGCGGGATAGCACAGGTGGTCAGGGTGAGCCCAGAGGCGTGGTCCCTAAATTCCTTTTTGCCTTTAAGCCCCCACGGACCCTCCTCCCTGTGACTTGGTGTATCTGCCTCCTACCATCTTTTGGCATCTCTGTGCATTTGGATCTCCCTGTTTCTGCAAAGTGACAGGCCTTCCTTCCAACTTGCCCGGAGTCCAACCATCACCCTTCCATGTTGGAGGAGCAGGGGGAAGAAGAGACTAAGAACAAAGGCTGCGGCACTCAGGAGTTTGAGGTCGTAGTAAGCTATGATGATGCCACTGCACTCTAGCCTGGGCAACAGAGCGAGATGCTATCTCAAAAAAAATTTTTATTTGTTTATTAAACTATTGTTACCTTGCTCCTACCTTTGCGTTATATCTCTTATATTTTGGAATAGAGGATTTTTCTCTCTTGATGGCAAAGAATTACCTGACAGTGTGAGATATCTCTAAACTTAAATTAGGGTTTTGTTTTGCCTTTAACTTAGATCTGAGAATAAACCTAATTTACTGTTTTGGGCAGAAGGCTGGGTGGCATACCGATGGGATTTTAGCTGAGGAAGTTAAAAGGCCAGTATTCCCTGTAACTTCTATAAGAGGGTCTGGAACCTGCCCTGCTTTTAGCACAGATCTTTGAGCTGGTGGATCACCTAAGGTTCCATCCATTCCCGAACTCTCCTAGCTTTTAAGTCAAGTCTTCTCAGCTCCTTATCTCCCTAGGCCTAGGAGCAAACTTGTTTTCTGGCCTGACTGATATGAATTTGGTTGGTATTTGAGCTTTTATCGTGCAGTAATTCTGGAAGGTAGCCCAGTATGGTTTTGCAAAGGGGAAAGAGGCCTGGGCTTTGTAAACCTTTAGACCTGGGTTCATATTCTGGCCCTGCCATTTTAGTCTCTTTGTGATCTTGAGCCAGTTACTTAACTTTTCTCACCTGTTTTCTATCTTTAAACTATTGATGGAGTTTTGGGTTGTCTCCAGTTTTTGGCTATTACAAATAAAGCAGCTATGAACAAAAGAAAGAAAGAAACAGAGAAAGAACGAGGGGCTGCCAAGAGAGAACTGTGAAGAAGGAAGCTGATGCAACAATAGCTAATGCTCTGTCTCCCTGCCACTCTTTCTTTCTTTCAGAACTTTCTATGTGCCTGACTTTGTTCCAAGCATTTTACATGGATTAACCCAGTTTATCCCGAGAGCGACCCCATAGGGAGAGCGTATAACTGATGGCCCAAAACACAGGATTGACCACCAGACTCCCGGCTTCTAACCCCAGCTTCATACCCGCTGGCTGCCTGATCTTGGACAAGTCACTGGATGTCTCTTTGCCTCAGTTTCCCTCATTTGTAGATCAGGAATGATGAACAGTGCTTGGCACATGGTAAATGGCCATTGGGCTCTTACAGATGGGAGAACACGGGTTCGGAGGGAAGAAGTTACTTTCCTAAGCTCACCCAGGGAGTCGATGGCTTGCTGAGAGCTGGGCCTGGGCAGCCCGTGTATTTGGCTGCCCTGTCCTGCCTCTCCATCGGGTGGATGGAGTGAGACAGCAGGAAGGTGTGAGGTGGATAATGCAGTTTTCCAGACAGGATGTGGGGTCCGCAGCCCTGTGACATGCCCCCTCCCATGGCCACAGATGCCCGGGCCTGTGGGAGGCAGGGAGCAGGTCTGAAAGTGAAGGCATATGGATTCAGCCTCAGTTTTAGAAGTTGAGGATTTTGAGGGCAAATATAGGAATGAATCAATTGCAGCTGAAGATTCCTGGTGGGAGAGGCCAGGAGGGAATGGCTGGAGGCTGACAGGTGCCTGCAGATGCTCAGACTGTCCACGAGGGGGCAGCAGAGTCTAGGCTCTGTCTTGGGTTAAGCTTTCCTGGGGTGTCCCTGGGGAGAGACCTTCTAGAACAAAATGAATCCTGAGCAGCATGGCTAGAATCATAACAACGCGTCCTAAAAGTGTTAAAAATGACAGCGATGAAGGGGACTTTAGAAACAACCTAGTCCTTATTCTGCAGAGGGCAAGACTGAAACCCAATGGTCAAATGAGTTTTCCCAAATTTAACCCAGGGAGTTCATGAGAAAGCTGGAAATAGAGCCCAGGTCTCCCTCTCTTTAGGTCTGTGGCAAGAAACATCCGCCCATTTCCAGAAGGAGAACTTGGTAGAGAGTGAGTCCCTGCCTTGGGTGAGTGGGCGTATGGGTCCTGCCTCCACTCCTGGCATCCTCTGGGCCAGCAAGTGTTGCCGGTGACACTGGGAATGGCCCTCTTGCACTTGTATAGGGAAGCAACTGGGGACCATGAAAATTGTAAAGAAATTGATTTTATTGTTTTGAGTGTTTATAAATACATATTATTATATTTCCCAAGGAAAAATCAGAACCCATAAAAATAAGAACTATAAAAATACTCACAATAGTATGTACTTTATATACTCTTATATATATGTTTCCATGAAGATGGGATGCTCTAATTCTCAAAAGAGTATTTTGTAAAACGTAAAGTGCAGTCCAGTGTTGATGGGGGTCACAGTTGTAAACGGGCTGGTGAGGCACTGTCCTTGGTGCTGAACCTGGGCAGGCATGAGGAGGAACCTCTCTGGAAACAGGCAGGAAGGCGTAGCCTGGTATCATGACAAGCCCATTGGAGCTTCCTTGGTTTCTATTGGAGAGTTTCCCAGCACTGTTGTCTTTCTTCTCTCTCTCCTTGGTAAGTCCAGGGGTTGCTTCTCATCAAGTCCGCGTGGAATGCTCTCAATGGGGAAATGTTCCACCAAGCTTAGCTGAACTGGAGTCTCCTCTCTCCAGGACTCTACATGAAACTGACTGTGTCTTAAAATGCTGTCATCATCACCTGGGGCCTCTGAATTTGGATCTGAAAAGAGAGATAAGACTAGGTGAGGGCTGGGCACATGAGGAACCTGGGTTTTGGAAGCTTGTCCTGTTACCTAGAGTCTAGCACAAACCAACTGTTTCTTCTGCTCCCCACCAGCTAGGTTTACAGGTATCCTGACCAGGGATTTCATCTTTGCCCCAAGGCTTTTCTCTAGGGGATACAGCACCTGAAGCCAATCACACTTGGTATTTCTTCTACTTTCAAATATCCATCCAGTTGAAATAGCATTAAGGTGGTAATTAAGAAGTGGTCACCCCTTACCCAAGTAACCAATCTTGGCCTTATTCATAGCAAGACAGCCCAATGTTATGTACTTCTTCAGGTGATGTAATAACATTATCTATGATACAACAAAAATATTTAGTCTGATTCTAATCAACTCTCTGGACCTGACCTCCAGTGTATAGGAAATACAGAGGATTGAGGGACAAGTTAAATGACACCATGAGGAAGTAATCAGACAAATAAAGAGTATGGGACATTCCTCAAGACAATAATCCTAGATTCTTTAAAAAAAATCAATATATTTAAAAAGGTAGGAGCCCATTCTAGATTAAAAAAACCAAAGAGACATAACGAAAGCCAGTGAGTAAAATTTGTTGTGTTCACATCTGAAAAAAACTAATAATAAATGATGTCCCTAGACTAATTGGAAAATTAGATATTGGATAATATTGTGAAATTATCATCAATTTATTGGGTGTGATAATGGTATTTGGAAATGTGTGCTGAAGTGTTTAGTTATCAAGTGTCATAGTGTTTGCAACTGAATTCCAAATGATTTAGCAAATGTTAGTGAATAAACAGATATGAAGAAAGAAAACATGGCAACATGTTGAACATTGTTGAGCTCTTTGCATTACTATTTTGACTTTTATGTGTGTTTAAAAATTAAAATCACTAAATAAGTGGGCCATCAAAGACATGCTTAGAGTGGAGAAGGAGACCTCAGAGTTTGAAGTCCCAGGGAGCTAGAGAAGGGGGCCCCACCTTGCCGTTTAGCTCTTATCTCACCCTGAGATATGCCCCTCTCCTGGCAGTGTGGGTCAGGGCGGTCACCTGGACCAACAAACCGTAAACCCAACTTTGCTGTCTTGAAGGTTCTATCGTGTAGCGGGAGAGCTGGGGTCTCAGGGTGAGGAGAGACAAGCATCTCGTCTGGGCACTTCTTACCTTTGTTCCAGGGTCTATGGTGCTCAGGGAGGGCTGGAAGTTACTATAGATGGAGTCCAGGTAGATGGAATCATCTTCTTCTGGAGGGGTAGAAAGCCCCACGGAAACAGGTGGTTAGAAAGACAAGCTCTCTTCTCCCCTTCTAATCCCACCTAATGGAGGATGATGGAGTCTGTCCCCACTCCCAGGAAACTGAAAACCATTGAAAATGTGACAGACTACCTAAATTACCTGGCCTCAGCAGCCCCCTAACACAAGCATTTGAAGGCTATACATTTCCTTCTGAATTTTGAATGTGGGACGCAATTGTAGCTGCATCCTGCAGGTTCTGATACCAAGTATTTTCATTAGCACTCAGATCCAAGTATTTTCTAACTTCCATTATGATTTCTTATTTGGTCCATGAGTTATTTAGAAACTTTAAAAAAAAAATTCCAAAGATAGGGGATTTCCGTTTTTCAGAAATATTTTTATTATTGATGTCCAACTTACTTGCACTGTGATCAGATAATATAGTCTGATTTAAATACATTTTTTGGAAATATGTTGAGACTTTTTTACGGCCTGTGTACGGCCACTCTTACAATTTTTCTGTGGACTCTTATAATGAATGTGTAATCTCCGGTCATTGAATGTGGTGTTCCGTATTGTATTAAGACTGTAAATTATTTTGTATAAAAGTTCTGTAATCCTTGATGACTTTTGTTTCCTTGATCAATCAATTATTTAATACTAAGAAGAGTGTTTTAAAAATCTCCCACCATGTCGGCAGATTTGTGAATTTTTCCTTGTAGTTTTGTCAATTTTTGCTTTGTATATTTTGAAGTTGTACTAATAAGGCACACAGGTTAGACCTGTGCCTAACAGCGGAAGCTATTTCCCAATCCTAACCGTTTTTATCTCTAGTAATTCTTTTTGCTTTAAAGTGAATTTGCCTGTGATGAATGTAGCTACATACAAGAATTGCTCTGTTTTGTCTTTTCCCACACCTTTGATTTTAAAATCCACTCTTTTAACCCAAGTGTTTAATCCACTCTCATTATGATTATTGATAAACTTGGATTACTTTCTGCCATCTTGTTCTGTGTTCTCTGTCCTGACTTTTTCTTTTTCTCCCTTTCATGCCTTTTTGTGGATTGACTGGACTTTTCCCTTATTCCAATCTTTCCCTTCTTTAGAATTTAAAGACCTTTTGTAGAAATTTTCTCATTCCATGTCTTTCCTTCTCGAGAATTTAAAGACTCTTATTTTTAGAAATTTTAACATGTGCATTCAACCTAACTAAATCTAATGTTAACCTCTTTACTGAGCTATAACTCACCTGTTAATGTGCTCACCCACTCCTGGGTACTCATGTAGGTTCACATGGGCACAGTTTTGTGTTCTAGAGAAATCTACCACCGTTAAGGACCCAGTGGTTTAGTTACGCTGGACCCATTCAGGGTCTCGCCGGAGCCAGCAAGGGAAATAGGGTTTTGAGTGCAGAGCCAAATGTTTTGGAGATGGGAAATCCTTTCCCCCTTTGCTCCTTTAAGCCCCAGTGTCTTCCCACCTGCCTCCCACGTGTGTGTTTCCACACTCTGAGCCACTCCGAGTGCACTGAGGATTGCCAATACCTTGGCAGATGTCAAAGCCGATGTTTTGGAAGGTCCCAGGGGTTGGTCTGCCATCCTCTTCGTGCCACTCGTACAGCTGAGACAATCTGTACTTTTGCCTATTGACAGAAACACCAGAGGGACCCTATTATGATTGGGGAACGGGGACAAGGACCCGGGGACAAGCTATGTCCCTGCCTTTGGCTACCCCACTGTCCACCTCGAGGAAGAAGTGATTGAAGACAGAAGGATGGAAGAGGGGGTGGCGGCAGCTCACCTTTTCACTTGTCTCCTGGAGTGGACCGTGAGCACCAAGAGGCCAACAAGGACGGCCAGCACCACCGTGGCCCCTGCCCCCAGGAGCCCGTACACCAGGCTCTTCTGGATGCCCGTGTCGCAGCTCTCACCAGTGTACCAGTGAGTTTCTGTGCTCAGGCAGCTGGGAAGGGAGAGAAGAGAGTCAGCGTCAGCCTCAGAACCCGGCCCTGCAGAGGACCAGGTGACAGAGGGATGGCCAGGGTACAGGACAAGGAGCCCCGAGGGGATGGGTGGAGACGAAGGGCAGCGTGCATGGGGCCAGCCTCTGAAGGGCCCAACACCCACCCTGGGCCCTTAAGTTTTGCCCAGTAGCAGCCCAGGACCCAGGACAGTTGGCCCAGCCCCAGGGCTTCCCTCGGCTGCACCCCCAGGGACTTGAGGATTCTGCAGACACCCTTCCACCCACCCATCAGCCATCCTCATTTCCATCCCTCCTCTCTGCCCAGAAAAGCCACACCCATCCCTGATCCAGAGCTCCTGTTTCACCCCTGAAGCTCTTTCCCCCACCCCCCAGAGACGCCCTGAGCCCTGGTCCTTCCCTCCACTTGCCGGCTTGTGACCCCTCTTCCCAGAACAACTACTCGGTCCTTCACACACGAGGGCTCCCTCCCCACAGCTGCTGCTCCAGCAGTCTCTGTCCCTTTGGTTCAGTTTCAGGTGCCAATGCCTTTCTTGGCCTTCCTCCCTCTGTGACTGGCTTTACAGGTTGTCCCCCCTGCCCAGTGGGTGTGTGGCCCTCTTTCTGTATTGTGCCCTCAGGGGATGTTGTTCTCTCCCCCGAGGCCAGGCCTCTGTCCTCCCTGTGGCACTGGGAGCTTCCTGAGCTTCCTTGGAGCTTGTCACCATCGTCAGCCTTGCTCAGCACAGGGAGGACCCCGGGAAGGGCAGCCACTGGGCTGGAGCATGCATGTCCCCCACCCCATCCCCCAGCCCAATTCCTCTGGCCAGATGCAGTCAGGAGGCCTGGTACCCGGCCCCACAGCCTTGGCCTCCAGGCTGTGTTCTGGGTGGGGCCCGAGGGGAGGGGTGAGGAGGACAGCTGGGCTGGGCTGGCCAAGGGCCAGACACTCACTAGCACTTCGGGCCAGTGAGCTTCAGCTGGCACTTGCCAAAGTTACAGGGTATGGAGATGCTGAAGCCAGACATGCAGGGGTTGATGCAGAATGCTTGCTCGTCCTCGTACTCCACCGTGAAGTAGGCGCTAAAGTTCCCGGCTTTTTCGTGGCATGCCTCTGAGGGGCACAGAGAGCAGCGGTGGTCAGGGGCTGGGGGCGCCGTCTGGCTCCCCCTGGGCTCCCACCCCCCCAGCCTCCCCTTGTGTCACCTACCTACAGGGTCGTATGAGGCCACTGTAATGTTCTGCACCTTCGTGGAGGTCGAGTTGAAACACAGCAAGGCTGCGAAGGAGACACGTAAAGCCCCTTACGATGTGCTCACGGGGCGGGAGGTATGGGGGGGAGAGGAGTGGGGAACAGCCCCTGCAGTGAGGGTCACCAGCCTCACGTCCAACCCTCCAGAATGGTGATCCTGCAAGTGTCATGTGCCTCCCCGTGTCCTTGTGTCCCATGTGCCCTCTGTCATGGTCCGCACACGGCTCCTTATGTTTAGAAGAATCTGCGTCGCGAATGGCCAAGTCCTTGTTTTCCAGCAGACTGTCCTAGCCTGTACCCCTCGGTACTGGCGCCCCTCGGGATGTAGCCTGCGTGTGCGCTTGGCCGCGCAGACACCTTTCCGAGGCTGTCCTGGAGTCTGCCAGTCTGAGCGACTAGCTTTGGGGCCGATTCAGGCATCTCTCCCCTGCCCCACCCCAGGGACAAAATGGGCTGGAGGATGCCAAAGGTTAAGATTCTCTGAGGACACCCCCGTCTGCCCCCTGGAGGCCTAGGAGCGTACCTGGGCAGATACTATCATTCATTATTTGCTCTTTGGTCGCTTCCTCGATTTTTTCTTTCACCTCCTCGAAAGCCTTCTCCAGGACTTCCTGGTAGTTTAGGGTGTACGTGGTCTCCAGGATGACGTCGTGCTCCACCACCACACTGCCGGGACTGGGGGCGGGGAGAGGTCCTGGGGTCAGAATTGGTGCTCACCTCTCCGACCCCTTCCCCAGGCAGGCTGCGCCCTGTCTGCTGCCCAGGAGAGGCAGAGCTGGGGGCAGGACGGTTAAGAGGACGGCCGCCCTCACTGGGCGTGCTCTGGCACACTCCCGAATCTCCAGGGACAGGTCTGGAGCCTCGTAAGACTGTAAAAATGCGAAAGTGCATATGTGCAGTTTTTCTAACCGCACACATTTTTGTAGGTTCTAAAAAGGTCTCTGACACCCCAGAGGGTAAAGTCCCAGGCAGAGGTCTCTCCCAAGATTTAGAAGCCAGGGCCGGTCCTGTCAAAACAGCATGGCTCCTGCTCGGTGGCTAACTTTCCTCTTCCCTAACTCCAAGCCCAGTTAGAGTGGTCCAGCCCCTGTGTTTGCAAAAGAGAACCAGGAATGCCTTTATGTCAGCAAGCTCATATTCCAAAATGCAAATTACTTCCCTCTGAAGCGTGCAGGGTTTCATTTGCTCCCCAGCAACAGGTACTTTCTGGATTTAAAAATACAGTTAAAGTCCAGCCTTCCGATGCTCACAATTCAAGCTTCCTAAATGCTGGAAGTCCAAGCACAACCTTTCCCTTTCTTCCTCCTGAACACTGTATTCCGAGGCTTAAACATAAACAGCAGATTTGGAGGGAATACTAACAGGAGAGCATTGTAATTAGGATGACATTACATATGACATATAGAATAATAGAATTATATAACATGTGTTATAATATATATTAATATAACCTATATAATAGTAGAATGAGAATAACATAAGAGTTAGAGGACCAGGGGATCTTCTGGCTCCAGGCCGCCTTTCACAATACGGAAGTAATGATAACAAGAAGCCACGTGGGGGTGGCCTTGGGTGCCTCCCAAGCTCCTTCACTGGCCTCCTATTGAGGCGTGGTGGGCGTTAGAGATGCAGATGAAACCCTGGCACTCACGGACCTTGGACCAGTCGATGAGCCTCGCAGGCCTGTTTCCTCATCTGTAAAACGAGGGCCCGATCTAGATGGATGCTTCCAGGGCTCTTGCTTCTGTGCTTTGGAAGTGAGGGATTCTCACTTCTTATCTGCCCACTCCCAGACCTCTCGGGAGCTGCTCTCTGGGCAAAAGTGACTTTCCTGCTGTGTGTCTTGCAGGAGCCCCCAGAGCCCAGGTCCTCCTCCTATCTGGCCTGCGGAGGTGCGGTAGAGGGGAATGTAGGATGTCGTAAGGCTGACAGCTACTGGGCTCACAGGAGGATCAGGGGCAGGGGCGGGGGCAACACCCACTGGGCAGCCAGCAGTCGGCCCAGGGAGGACAGCCCGAGGTGCCTTCAGGCAGCCAGCTGGGACAGGAGTGTAAGCCCGTCCTCCCCCTTCCCCCCGAGAGACAGAGGGCCTGGCCCTACAGACACCCTCTCCCCGCAGAGGACAAAAGAGAGCCCAACAGGGTCAGTGCATGTTAGTCCTGGCAGAACTGTTAGGGCAGGAAAGAAAAATGCCTTTCTCAGGCAGAGGAGCTAACTTGCTAAAGAGCATTAAAGAGCCACCAAAGGTGACCAGGACACCTGTCGTGAACAAGGACTGGGAGGGGCCTGGGAACCCCACCTGGACCCCACCTGGGGTAGCCTCTCTTGTTAGAGAGAAAAGGTTTCATATTAGAATTGAGAGAGAAAGAGATTGAATCATATTGTTTTCCTGTGTTTTTTGTGCTGTTCTGTTTCCTACTGTCTTAAGTTCCTTATGAAAATTATGAATCTTGACTTTGAGAAGCCATTGGAAGTATTTCCCTCACCATCCAGGGGCGGTTGAGGGGGGACCCATGCAAGCCCCCTTGGCCAGCACCATTCAAGGATTTCATAAAGTTGGGGTTGATAATAGGGGAGGGGTTCTACGGAACAGAATCCCACTGTAGCTGAAGTGGGAATGAATACGAGACGACCATGGACTTGGAGACCCTTCTCCCTGGGGGTTCCCCTTCCCAGGCTGAAATATTTGTCTTCAACTCTGAAGAATAAGCTGTCGCTCCCAGGTTTTCTGGTTTGTCAGTCTGTCCCTGACATAACAGGGCTTGTTTGTATCTCGGCCCTCACACTGTATAACCCATGCCTCGGGCAAGTCATTGCATCTCTGTGAGCCTCGGTGTTCTCATCTGCACAATGGGGACAGTCCATTGACCTCTCTCACAGGGTGGTCGTAAGCTGTCAGTGGAAAAAGGTTTGTAAAATCATCATAGTTAGGGTGTGCTATGGGCTGAATTATGCCCCACCCCATTCATGTGTTGAAGACCTAACCCCCAGAACCTCAGAATGTGACTGTATTTGGAGATAGGGTCTTTAAAGAGGCAATCAAGTTAAAATGAGGCCATCAGGGTAGGCTCTAATCCAATCTGACTAGTGTCTCTATAAGAAGAGGAAATTTGGACGCAAAGGACGGCAGGGATGTGTGTGCACAGAGAAAGACCACGTGAAGACACAGTGGGAAGGCTGCCGTCTGCAAGCCAAGGAGGGAGGCCTCAGGAGAAACCCTTGATCTTGGATTCCCAGCCTCCAGAACTGTGCGAAATAAATTTCTGTTGTTTAAGCCAGTGGGTCTGTGGTATTCTGCGATGGCAGCCCAAGAGAGGAACACAGGGGCATGGCCATAATTGCCTTTATATTCATGACTTCCCCTTCCACTCCACAGACCTCTTGCTGCAGATACTCACCTCAGCCTTGTGATGTTGACTCCTATGTACTCAGGGATGCCAGAATAAATGATGTTCATCTGAAAGGCAAGGGGCCACCACGTCATCCCTGAGGACCCACCTTGGGGACTGCCAGGGCTTTCTGTGGGACAGCGGGAGGGCAGCGGTTGACTGTCCTGTCCCACAGCATGTCCTGGTCTGCATCCCAAGCTGGCCATGGCACACTTGCCAAATGGAGTCGCCCCTTCCCAGGGACCTGCACCAGGGACCTCTGCAACCCCCAGTGAAACCTGGCTTCATCCTCCCCCTCCCTCCCTGGCAAGCTCTGAGGACATGGGAGAGCTGAGAAACTCACACAGGTTTGACAAGAGAAGGGCCCTCAGCTGCTTTCTTAACCCCTACAGGCTCCTCCCCAGGGAGAGCTGAGTGGCCATGGGGCCTTGTTCTTCCAGGCTCACCTGCTCCGAAAATGTCTTATTGAACTCCTGGAATTCCACAGAAGATGGGTCTTGGAGCTCTTTGGTGAACTCCTGATTGGTCACTGTCACGGTCACTTCTACTCGGGCTAAGACTGGCTCTGAGGGGGATGGACAACAGCAGCGCTGACTGAGCAAAGCGTCCCCTCAGCCACCTACCTGGGAGACCCGCACCCCAGCAGCTGCGACCTGGGTGGAAAGAGTGACCCGAGCCTCCCCGGCCCCCTGCCCTGGCCCTCTCTGTCTCGCCAGAGTGCCCCTGGAGAGAGGAGCACTATGTTTTGCCTCCTGCTCCATCCCATACTCATTTATTTTAAGTGTGTTTTATGGTAACATGCTGTGCCACGTTTGTATTTCATTCCAAAATGTACCTTTCTTTTCTTATGCATTTTTCAGTGTTTTAACTTTCTTACCACTGGGTAAAAAAATACAGCCTAGAGGAGGCCCTATTCCCAGCCATGCATCAAGGTGGGGCAGGGACAGGGGCCTGTGTGGAGGCTGGGCCTGGGGTTGCGGGTGGGGGGCCCCGGGCTGATGCTCACCCAACTCGAGGCTGTCGACCACGTCCTCACACTTCTGCCCGTAGTACGGGCTGGGGCACACGCACTTGATCCCATCCCAGGTGCCTCCGTTCTGGCAGTTGACCACAGCGGGAGTTGGGGTGGGGGTGGTTCTCGTTGTAGGAGTAGCGGGCCTGGTGGGGACAGTAGGGGTAGACACCGTGGACCTGGGCGTAGTCGGTGTGCTGCGTTTCGACATGGTTGTTGTGGTGGTGCCAACGGCAGGGGTCCCAGGTGTGGAGGAGGCAGAAGCTGTTGGGGGTCTGCTGGAGTGAGCAGGAGGAAACACAGGAGAGGCGGTGTGGGAGGCAATGGTGGATGACATGCTGGATTCTGATGGGGGAGTCCCAGGACTGGTGCGGACAGAGGTGAAGGTGGCAGGTGTACCGGCTGCAGGGGCAGTTGAAGCAGAGGTGGTAGAGCCACTGCTGGAGGTGGCAGGTGTGCTGGGTGCAGTAGACATGGACACAGATATGGGGCTGTCGCCAGTAGTCGTTGCACTGACTGTGACTTCCGTAGCAGTTGAAAAAGATGTGGTGGCACCACTATTACTGGTTGATGGTGTGGGGACTTTGGTGAAAGTTGTCACAGGGGAAGATCCAGCAACACTTGTTGCAGTGACAACAACAATAGAAGTGGTCACAGGTGGGTTGCTAACAAAACTTGTTGTCCTAGGGGTGATTCCTTCTGTACCAGTTGACAAAGACATAGTGGTGCCTTCAATAGGTATATGAGAAGAACTGGTGTCAGGAGACTTTGTTAAAAGTGTAGTGGTGTCCACAGTGGTCGACGCTGTGCTACTCCCAGAAAGACTGGTCCCAGGTGTGGTAGTGACAAGGGAACTTATAGATGAAGCGCCCCCTTCACTAGTAGCTGACATAGGCATGGTGGTGCTTTTCACAGACGTAGTAGATAAACCTGCAACGGAAGAGGTGGGAAAGGAGGTGGTGGCATCAATTGAAGGTGAAGGAGTTGTGTTGGCCTCGGTAGAAGTGGTCCCAGGTGGAGAGCTGAAAAGGAGAGTTGTGAATGGTACGGTATCTTGACTTACAGTAGACAAAGGTAAGGTCGTGCCTGCCACAGACGTACGCGATGAAGTGGCTTCAGAAATGGGCAAAGATGTGCTGCCATGACCAGCGGAGGAAGGTGTCATAACTTCAGAAGGACTGGTGCCAGATAGGATAGTGACAAAAACTGATGTTACTGGAGTGATTCCTTCACTGGGAGTTGAAAAAGGCAAGGTGCTGCCTATCACTGGGGTAGGAGAAGAACTGGCTTCAAGTAAGGTGCTCACAGATGTGGTGGCGTCAACAGGTGTTGCACTGGCCTCAGTGCCACTGGTGCCAGGTGTAGTGCTAAAGAGGGTACTTGCTCCTGGTGTGCTGCCTGCACTCAGAGTTGAGAAAGGTATGGCGGTGCCCTCAACAGGGGTAGAAGATGAAATGGCTGCTGTAGAAGTGGGCAGATATGTGGTGGTAGCACCTGCAGTTGTTGCTGTGCTGCTTGCCCCAGTAGGACTGGTCCCAGGGAACGTGCTGACAAGGAGAGTTGTGAATGGAGTGCTGCCTTCACTGAGAGTTGACAAAGGCAGGGTGCTGCCTTCCACTGGGGTAGGGGAAGAGCTGGCTTCAAGTACAGT